GATTGGCAACAAAGATCGTCTCTTTTCTTGCTGCAATTGCCTGAAATTAATTTCCAAGGGTGTTAGTACACGACTCTAAGAAGAAAACAGACTTAAATGGCATAGCAAAAAAGAGTATACTCATCAAGAGATTCAGATTCATTCTGAGAGCAAGTCATCTTACAACTTTGCAACAACAGTTCGGATATTAAAAGCTAAGTGTCTCTTCTGAGCCAGACATATACTGAAGATGATGAGGATAATACTAAGAGTAGGTACCTTAAAAAAATGGGGAGGTATCTCCTCTTCTCCTATCGGAAAGCTTTCTCGTCGAATGTAGTCTTCGTACCTGGAATTTCGAAACCCTTGTGAGCTCTCCATGTATATCAGAAACTTCAGCTAGTGTACTCTTGATAACAAACTCATGTGGCAAGTAGCTAAATCACTTACCAAACCTTGTGTTCCAAGCAAAACCTGATTAACAAAAACAGATGCATTAATGATCCGCAGTGGCATCAAAACTCCAGCAATAAGTTATAGAAACAAATCTCCAAAAAATGAAAAATCAATCTACCTTGGAGTATGAGGGTATGGGGTTATCTTAGCCAAGCCCAGAGTAATTTTCTCACCACACAAATAGTCACCATTCTTCTTTTCCTGCGCCTGCAGTACAAAAGAGATTTGATCAGCAAAAGGCACTTTCAAATAACTACTTGTATAAATTTCATATAAGTCGCACTACTCTTACCTTCTTTGCTTCGTTGGCAGAAGCAAACTCAACAGAGCCAGAGCCAAGATCGAAGCCCATGTGGTCTACAACTCTTGTAACTTGAACAACTTTTCCAACATCTTCGAAGAAATCAATGCTGTGAAAAGGGAGGATCACATGTTAGTCGTGAAAAACTTGCTCCAAGAACAAAAGAGGGAAATAAAGGTGCAAATTACATGTCTGATATTCCGGCTTGAGAAGAGAGGTTGTCAACAATGAGCGTCTTTTTTCTTACGTCAACCCCCTAAATTTAGCAGGCAAGTGTGTTAGCACGGGTATAAGGAGAAAAGGACTTGAACTGCATAGTAGCAAAAAGTAGCACCACCTGCAGATTCATCCCCGTAATGAGTCATCTTTGCGGTGGCACTAAAGCTAAACATAAACAGGGTTATATGAAGAGATGATAAGAAGAGGCACCTCAACAAAATGGGGAGTTTCATCAAGTCCTTGCACTGTCCCCTGTTACAGGATGAGTAGCCCCGTTGGAACACATTTTGGACAGAATAATAAGAACAAGATGCTTAATTGAACACCATCATTATATCTGGCAAACAACAGAATATCAAAATTTACAAAAAATGATACCTTGACTAGAATTAAATTAGCATCAGACTTTGTCTCAACCGACTCAACCCTTCCTTTGACCTACTGGAGGAGATTATCAGCAAATCCTTGCGTTGTCTCCTGTTACGAGTGGCCATTAGTGTTAGTTCCATATTGTGTTGGCATTATTTTTTGACAAACGAATAGATTTATCTAGAATTATTTTAGATATTTTATTTAGACTTAGAGTTCTAGCATGTGAAGAAAGAGAAAGAGGAAAGAGCTTGAAGAAAGAAGTCTAATCCTACTTGGTTTACTATTCTTGAGGAGGAAGGCATGGTTGAGACTCCTAAGCACACTCTAACAAGGTTAATATGCTCTATATATTACTTTCACCCTCCCTTAGGGTTTTGAGCGTGCAAAACTACTAAAAACCAGTAGCAAATTCGATCAAAAGAAAAACACAAGGTGCAGATTTTGAGACTGTAAATTCTCTGGACAGCCCGCACAGATTTGATCATCGCCAAAGATCCGACCGTTGGATTTTGCTGAAATTTTCAGAGGGTGTTCTCAACACATAGAGCTTCAACGTGTTAAAATTTCACGTCAATCGGAGTTACGGATCTTCTGTTATCGAAGTTACAATATACACATTGTTGCTGATTTTTTGCAGAAAATACTGCCCTGGTTTTTCTCGACTGTTGGAGTATCAAATCTTGTCCGATCGTGCTGAAATTTTGGGAGGCGTTTAAGGACTCCTGGATCTTCAATCTGAACGGTGGAGATCGAATTCCAACGGTTCAATCTTGATTTATGAGCTTCTGAATAGTCTGCAGATTTTTGTAGATCAAGGAGAGTCTTTATTTGAAGGTGTATTGGAATCTACGTCTCTTTGAGAAGGTGTAACTAGCCGTGGAGATAGACGCAAACCGAGTTTGTCGTCAAGTCATTCGTAAGTAGACAAATCAATACATTAGAAGGTTCTGTTGTGA